CCTAAGTTTTCGCGCGCCCCACGCAGCGTGATTTTGATGCTCGACGACGTTCTGCGCAACGTGACCGTGAACGTCGAGCGCGAGTCGCCCACCGCGGCAGACGAGTTGACCGTCGGCACGGTTTCCAGCTTGGAGCTGTGGAACCTCAGCTGACTTCGCAAATTTCGCTTATAATTTTCTTTATATCTCTTTCTCAGCGCAGCCGCCCGCTAGATGGCGCATTTTCGTCTCGCGCAGCTCGTCGGCTCCTCGTACACCGGCGGCGCGCCGCAGTTTGCAGAAGATAACGCGACGCTCTTGTTCGCGGCTTTCAATCGCGTGCGCAAGGTCGACTTGCGCTACAGCAGGAGTGCGGCGTTCGATGTGGAGGTCGACTATAACATTGAGTTTCTGCTGAGCGTTTCGCGCGACTTGGTGTGCGTCATTGACGAGCAGAGCAACCTGTGCCTGCTGAACCTGCGTGCGCAGGCTGTGGTCGCGCACGTCGCGCTCTCGGCGAAGCGCGTCTCCGCGTGTGCGCTGTCGCCAGACAAGCGGCTGTTGTGCGTGGCGTACGGCGACGAGATCGCGCTCTGGCGGCTGGCCTGCGATGCCTCTGCGTGGCGCTTCCAGCGCGTGTGGGAGCTGCGCGGGCACAATGACCGCTGTAGCTGCATCACCTTCGTCGACAACAACTACGTCTTGTCGTGCGGCTACGACATGGCGGTGAAGGTCTGGTCCGCTGCGAAGCCGTTCTGCGCGCTGCAGTTCTTGGACTGCAAGCAGAAGTTGCTAGCTGTCTACTTAACCGCCGACCGCCGCCGCGTAGTCGCGACCGGTGTCGCGGGGTACATCGTCGTTTGGGAGTTCGCGGAGCGCTCCGAGTTTCGCTCCAAACTGCAGCCGTGCTCCACGGGGCGCACCGCGGCCGGGCTGCTCTCCGATTCGGGCGACGCGTTCGACATCTGGCGACAGGGTTCGTGGGATTTTAAGACGCGCGGCTTCGTGAACTTGAAGAAGCGCGCAGTGACTGCTTGCGCCGCGTTCGCGCCGCACGACCAGTTCGTGTTCGGTTTCGCGGACGGCTCGGCGGCCGTGGTCGCGCTGAACTTCTTCTCCGACTGCGTGGCCCGCGGCGACTTGACCTCGGACCCCGACTTCGTCAAAGAGCTTGCGTTTGTCACGTGTTTGAAGCAGTGCTACGTAAGCAGCGTCGCGCTGAGTCCGGACGGGCTGTCCGTCTGCCTGGCTTCGCGGCTGGACGCGGCCATGTGCGTGTGGGACTGGCAGAGCCAGCGGCTGCTGTACCGCGAGGATGCGGACTTGCGGCAGCCGACGTGCGTAGACTTTCTGCCGTGCAACTACCGCTTCGCGGGCCGCGTGGAGTCGGCCGCGCAGTTGTCTGGCATTGTCGCGGTCGGAAACGCGGCCGGCAAAGTGTCGCTGTGGGACGAAGACGCTGCGAGCTGCGTCGCGCGCTTCGCGCAGCACGCGCTGAAGGTCACGGCTGTCCGGTTCACGCTGCAGCGCAACGTGTTCGTGTCCTGCGGACTCGACGGCAAACTTTGTTTCTACGACAACCACAACTACCGCTGTTACAAAGCGGTGCTCGCGCCCCGGAACGCTGCGGGGCTGCATACGCCACTCTGCGGCATGAGTGTCGACATGAGTGGCGAGTTGGTCGCCGTCTTCGGCGACGCGTCGAACCCGGCGGTCTTTCTGTACGAGTGCCGCACTGGAAACCTGCTCGACACGTTCGAGTTCGCCGAGGAGAGCATTGCGGACATCGTCTTTGCGCGCAACTCGCGGCATTCGGGTCAGCTCGCAGTCTGCTTCGCCTCCGGCGCCGTTGCGATCTGGGACGTGCTTGGTCGCGCGCGGAAGGGCGGAAAGCCGGCTATGTTGCAGCACTCGGCCGGCGTGGCGTTCGCAATGGATTTCGTGCCGGAGTACGACTCGAAACTGGTCGTCAGCTACAGTGGCGGTCAGATCGTATTGTGGGACTGCGCAGAGCAGGCGCTGCTCCGAGAGTTCAACTGCTCGCGGCACCTGCACATTGGGCGCACGAGCGAGCAGGTCACGACGGCGAACAACGAGTTGTACAAGTTCCGCAAGCGCGAGATGGGCGACAAGTGGACAAAAGACGTAGACCCGAACCTGGGCGCCTCGTTCGTAAAAGTGTTCCCCGACCGCGACACTCTGCTGGTCGGCCACCACCAGTCGCCGGCGCTTGCCTTCTTCAGCCTGGGCTCGGGCGACTTTCTCGACGTCTACTTCTTCACGCGCAACCTCAGTTTGGACGGCGTCAAGCGGCTGCTAAACAGCAAGACCGTCGTCGACGGCGTCAACCTCGCAGCGGTGCAAACGCTCGACCCAGACCAGGAACTGGCGGAGCGCGCAAAGGAGCGCCGACGTTTCTTCTCACACCTGGAGAACGACTCGGCGCTGCAGACGCTGCGCGGGCGCCGCCGCGCCGTGCTGCGCGTGCACCAGGTCGTGCTCAGCGAGGACGCTTCGCGTTGCTACGTGTGCACGAACTTCTCGGTTTTGGTGCTGCAGCGGTTGAACAGTTCCTCGCGCGCGCTGCAAGCGATTCAGCGCGAAGCGCAGGCTGCGGAGCTGCTGTCTGGCGTGCTCGAGCCGCGCGACACGCCGAAGGCGTGGCGCAGCGCGATGGAGCGCTCTGACTGGAAGGAAGCCGTGCGACTCGGCCTTTCTTTGAGCAACGACTTTTTCGTGGCGCGCGCACTGACTGCGTGCCCGCCTGCGCGCTGGCGCGCGCTGCTCGTAGACTTCGCGCCCGTCTACCTTGCGCGGCTGGCGCGCTTTTTGGCCACCGTGCTGGCCCAGCAGGCGGGCGCGCCGCTTGTCGCGCTCGACGCGGCGTTAGGCGCGACGCAGGTCTTCGTCAGCCACGTGCATGCCGACGCGCACGCGGTGGACGCGGCTGCGCTCAAGCCGTTCCTCTTGCGCATTTTGTCCGAGATCGGCGCCGTGAAACAAACGGCGCAAGCCAATGACGTGTACGTCTGCGACGTGCTCAACTTTCTTGCCGAGCAACGCGCGTTTGCTGCGGAGGCGCGTTAGCGTCAGCGCTCCGCGTTATCGCTCCGCGTTATCGCTCCGCGTTATCGCTCCGCGTTATCGCTCTGCGCCGGCGCAAACGCGTTATCGCTCCGCGTTATCGCTCTGCGCCGGCGCAAACGCGCTTTGCGCGCGGCGCAGCGTCAGCGCGTCGTCTGCGCGCAGCATGTCGTGCAATTGCAGAGGTTCGCCTTTGCGAAACGCCGTGCAATCGAGCTTGCGCAATTTCAGCAGCAGCTGGAACAAGAGCGTTTTGGGCGCGATGAAAATCATGTAGGACGCGCCGTCGACGCAGACTGTCACGTGACAGGGTGGACGCGTCGGAACGCATGGAAGGCCGTGGAACGCCTGCGTCACGCAGGCGCTCAGTTGCCGCGCTGCGAATCGCTTGGCGTCGCGTGCGGCGCAAAACGCCGCGTGGCGCGGCGCGCATTCCAGCGCAGCCAAAGTTGCTGCGTCCACCAGCGTCTCGGCGCGCGCGCGAGGCAACTCGAGCGCGACGCGCTCCGCTGCAGCACGCTCGCCCGCTGCCACGGCCGAGCCGTTGAACGACTCGAGGTTCGGCAGTGCGCAGAGCGCCGCGCAGCGCAGCAGGTCCATTGCTACGCCTTCCGGCGCGCGCAGCTCGAGTTCCGTCTCGCAGCGCAACGCGAGGTGTTTGACGCGTTTGCAGTGGCGCAGAAAAGTGCGCAGCGCGTCGAAGCTGCGCAGTTCTATTTTGTGTATCGATAGCGTCCTCAGGCGCAGCTGAGCATCTTCCGGCTCTCCGCGCAAGGCGGTGCAGTTTGCGAAATTCGCGGCGTCGAACGTCACTCGCGAGCTGGCTATGAAGACTTCGTCAAGCAGCGCTTGGCGCTGCGACAGCGAGATCAGAGTCTGCAGCAAATCGCACCCGTCGCACGGCACGGCGCTGCCGACCACTAGTTGCGTGCAGACCAGCGCGTGCTCCTGCGCGGCGCGAAGTGCTGCGAGGAGGCCTGCGGGGTGCGACTGCAGCACCAGCTTTGCGCAGCTGACGTGCGCGCTAAGAAACGCTAGCGTGGACGGGCGCAGCGCATTCCCTGACAAGTTCAGCAGAGCGAGCTCGCGACGGCAGGGCGGCGCAGGTTGCTCTTCGCGCGGAGGCGCGTCCTCGCGCGTGACGCCCACAAACTGCAGCGAAAGTTCTTTCAGCTGCGGAAATCGGCGCAGCAGCGTGCGCAGCGCGTAGTTCAGCTCGAGCAGCGGGTTGTAGCCGAGGTCGAGCACAGTGACGGCGTCGTTGCCTGCGTCGATCGCAGAGACCAGCCAGTTGTCGAGGTACACGCAGCGCGTAGCGGCCAGCAACGCTGCGCAGTCGCGCGCCAAATCGGCGGCGCTGATCGGCGCGCCAAGCGAGTGCAACTCCGGCTTGTACTTCGCGCACAACGCGTGCGCGAGACTCAGACCGTGGCGCAGACGCACTTTGCGGAAGTGCTCGAGTGGAATCAGCGAAGCGTGTGACGCTTCTGCGAGCAGCGGTAGGTCGCTCGCGCGGTGCCGGTTTTCGCGCCCAGGCGCCGTGCTGCGCCACAGCACCACGGCGTACTCTGCGCGCGTCGCAGGGTGTGCGTAGTGACCGACGTATTCGCCAAAGTCGAGCAGCTGGCTCGAGCCGAGCAGAAACTCTTCGAGCACCGGCGCGATGTCTTCGCTGCGCCCGAACAGCGCAAGCGCCGCGCAACTCGGCCAGCAAACGAGTTCGGACGGCTCGCGGCAAAACCGAGCTGCTTCAACAACGTGATCAGCCATGCCGGCGAAAATTCGCCCGCGAAATACGGATTTTGCAATTAATTTTCGCAAATGGTTGAACTTAACTCTAACTCTGTCGAGCTGAAAAAACAAGGTAACGAAGCTTACAAGGCGCGACGCTTCGAAGAGGCGGAGCGGCTGTACAAAGAGGCGTACGAGGCGGACAGCAACAATGTCATGGCGTTGTACAACCTCAGTGCGCTGTACATCGAGCAGCAACGGCTGGACGACGCGCTCTCCGCGATTTCGGAGGCGATCGCGCAGCGCGACGCGATCCAAATTTCTTTCAGCGACGCTGCAAAGCTGTACCAGCGCCGCGGCAAGGTGCTCTTGTTGCAGAAGAAGTACGACGAAGCAATTGCGATGTTCAAGAAGTCGCTAACTGAGGTGCAGGACCGCGCTGTGCGCGTGATGCTGCGCGAAGCGGAACGCGCGCGCGACGCGGCAGCGGAGGCGGCGTATCGCAATCCGGAGCTCGCGGAACAGCACCGACAGAAAGGCAACGAGTACTTCAAACAGAAAGACTTTCCGCGCGCGAAGGTGGAGTACGACGAAGCGATCAAGCGCAACCCCGAAGATGCGCGGCTCTTCAGCAACCGCGCGGCGTGCTACAGCAGCCTTTTCGAGTACCCGAGCGCGATTGCCGACTGCGACACGTGCTTGAAACTTGACCCGAACTTCGTGAAGGCCTACAGCCGTAAGGGCTTTTGCTATTTGAAGCTGAAGGACTACAACAAGGCGAAAGAGGCGTACGAGGCCGGGCTAGCGATAGACCCGCAGCACGCTGAGTGCCGCAACGGGCTCGCTGCCGTGCAGCGCGCGATAATGGAGCAGATGACCGAGAAGGTGGACGAGTCGCAACTGCAGCAAGCACTCTCCGACCCTGAGATTCAGAAGATCTTGGCAAACCCACAGATGCAGCTGGTCCTCAAGCAGATGCAGGAAAACCCGCAGGCGATTCCGCAGTACTTGGCAGACCCGAACATCAAGGCTTCGCTCGAGAAGCTGATGGCCAGCGGCGTGCTGCGTTTCGGCGGCAAGGCGGAATAATCTTTTCGCTAGATTTTTTTATGAGCACCTACGACGATGTCGTAGACGCCGTTAGTCAGTTTCTGCGGCTGAAAGTCAACGAGATTAAGCACGGCGCGATCCAGAGCAAGCACGTCGAGATCGAGTTTCGCATCGGGCGCATTTGCGAATTCCACACCCGGTCGCGCATCAAACTGCCTGTCGCGACTGAGTGCGTGCTCAAGCGCGCCAGCAAATCGGAGGCTTGGGAATATGCGTTCAACAGCGTGCTGTCCGAGATGCAGGCGCGGAACCTCGCGCGCTTTCTGGCAGAGACGTTTGGGCTGCCCGTAAATGTCTTTGGCTGGACCTTGCAGTGCGCGCGCAACGAGGGCGCCGAGGCGTTCTACGAAATTGAACACACGAGAGATGTGAGCAGCGTCTATCTGATTGGAGAGCGCATGCAGGCGCGCGTGACCGTTGACCCCGCCGCAAACGCGCTGGTGTCATACGTCAGCAAGCGCATGCTCGGCGTCTTGAACATGTACTCCGGCGTGGACCGCGATCAGATGGAGCTCGAAGTGCTCGCCTCCGACAGCGGCGTGACGCTGCCCGCCGAGTCGAACGTGTTGCTGGACTACCGCTGTGCCGTCAGCAGCGAGGTTCCGATCAATCTCAAGCGCTTCCCTTTGTCGGAAGACTTCAAACCGAAGGGCGGCGTTTTGAAGTCGTCGCGGCAGCGCGAGCGCTACTCCATCCCCTTCAACGGGCTTTTCCGCTTCGACTTCACGCGCGTTCGCGTCGGTCGTTTCACCAACTACGAGTTTGAAATCGAACTGAACAGCGAAGCGCTCTTCCAAGCCTCGCACGCACTCACGCGCTCTTACGTTAACGAACTGATCGAACATGTGCGTACCATCATTTCCGTGCTCAGAGTCTCCACCGTTGAGTCCTTGCGCAAGCCGGTCGAAGAGCTGTCCAAATTCACTAACCTCGTGACTGCTGGCTTTGACGAAGAGGAACTCGCGCAGTATCGCACACTGGGCGTAAACGTCTACCCGTTGATCGGCGGGTACTTCGCGCAGGCGCGGCTCAGAGAGCACAGCAGCGCGACGTTGGTTGTCTGAGAGACGCAAAGCGCTCTCTGGCGACTCGCGGAAAATCACACCGCATGCTCGACAGCTGCTAGATCTGCAGGGCTAGCCTCGCTCCTTCGGAGTTCGCTGCGCCGCTGCCGCTCACATGCACAGAACGTGCGTATGCTTCACGGCATTTCCAACTTGCCGAGCAGCTGGCTTTGCAGCTGCCTCGTTTGGCGCTGCAGCTCGCCACAGCTCTGCAGCGCGGACGCCGCGCCGAGTCGCGCAGTGCGTGCGCGCAAACGTTCGTTCCGCAACGCTGCGACGTACATCTCGTTGCTATCTTCCCAAGTCGGCGAAGCGCTTTTCTCCGCCGGCAACTCCGAGAACCTACGGCTGCTCGTCTTCCGGCCGCTGCGCGCAGAACCTCGGAAGCTGCTGTCGCGCGCGCTGAAGTCCGGGTGCTGACACTGCGAGAACTTGCGATTCTGTGCAGCGCTGTTGTTGAGGAGCCACGTCCACGCAGCTTCGGGGTCGCTCTCCCGGGAATCGTGCAGATTCGGCAGCGGTCTATTGCGCAACGTTGCGCAAGCACTGTCGTGCTCCGTCGCGCGGCTCGCTCGGGGACTGTGCAGCGCGCTTGCGCCACCTCGTAGCCTTTCGAGCACTGCGCGCTCCTGGTAAACCAAGAGCTGCGACACAGACGGCGTAGTGGAGTCTGCTGCAAGTTCTTCGGCGGCCTCTGCGTCGCCAGAGAGACTCGTTAATCGCCTGATGCGAGCGACGAGCGCGACGAACTCCGGGAGCGGCAGCGTCTCACCGCGCCAGTACGCTTTCATTTCGCAAGCGTCGCTGAATATGTCGAGCCGCGTCAGGATGTCATCCACGGCGAACACGTCGGCCCACAGATGTAGAAAGTAGAAGATCTCCACCGACTCGCTTGTGCTGCGCTCGATGAAAAAGTCAAGCACGTTTGGGTTGCTGTCGATGCCCATCACGCGGTACAGAAACCTGCGCGCCCCCGTTTCTCCTGCGGCCCTCGCGCTCGACGTGCCCTCGCTTACCGCTGAGCAGCAGTTTTCGGACGGCAGCGCTTCCGCAGAAAAGCCATCGTCGTCGCGTCTCAGACAGGACGCTGCACAGCGCGAAGTCGAACAGCTCTCTGCATTGGCGGCGTCGCGCGACTCCTCGTGCAGCAGTCGCAGCATTTTCTCGACTTCGAGTCTCACTCCCATCAACCGGTTGTGCAGCTTGTAGTCGCTGTACGCGCGGTTCCGCGAAGCCGCACACGGCGCGAGCGGTTCAGCACGCGTCGTCTGCGCATCGCGCTCGCTGTCGCCGGTCCCAGTGGTTCCGCAGTGGCATTGCGGCGCAGAGAAGTAGAACAGCGCGCCTGCGTCATTCTGTGTGTCGGTCTGCGTAAGCGCACCTTCTGACGTGGAAGTAGTCTCCAAATCGGTCGCCGACGCGTAACGAGGTAAGTGCTTTGCACTTGCCACAGTTTTGGCGCGCGCGCCGAGAATAGCGTTTGCGCTTTCCGCAGTGGTTGCGTGCTGCGCTTGTGTTCGTTCGCGCCGCGGATCGCTGACAGCCCGTGACGTGCTGGCCGTCCGTAGGGCGCGCAACAGTTTCGACGGCGTCGGCAGACCGCGAGTGGCTCCAATGCAGTGCACTAAGTGGTTGCCCATTGCGGTCGGGCGCCGTGCGCATTCTGCATCACGAATATAGGTCACACATTTACAGTCTGCGGAAAACTCAGCACAAACAGCTATTTAGCTATTTTTCAATTTAGCGGCGCGCTGGGTGCGCGACGCTTTGCGCCAAGTCGAGCAACAGTTCGTCGCTGATCGGCGTATTGCTAGCCGGATTCATCATTCCCAACGGGTCCATGTACGGCGCTGCGCTCCCGGGGAACGGAACCCGCGAGACGTTGCTGAGCCCGCGGTACTGCGAGAAAAACTCGTGGTTCGGCTGGGCGTTGAACCGACTGCGCAGCGCAGCGTTCTGAGAGCCGGGTTCCCACGTTTCAGGTAGCGAGCCAATCACTTTCTGTCCGATCGCCGCGCTGCTATCGATCGCGAACTGCGCAGGGTCGAGCACCACCTTGCGGTTATCCGCCAACTCGTACATAACCGAAACCACCTTCTCTGGGTGGATCTCTTTTTTTTCGTACACGACGCGGCTGCGGTCTACCGAATCCGGTTGTTGTTGGCTCGCCTCGCCCGCCATATTTCCAAATGATTTTATTTTAATTGCACGTGAGCGAAGGCTGGCCGTGCATGCAAAGACACATTTTTCAAGAATGCCAGCAGTTTGTTCCAAGTGAGGCCAATGAGCGAGTTCGTTAAAGCAGACGAGGCCCAGAACTGCCTGAAAACCGTAAGTGTGCGGCGCGTGCGAGAGTGATCACCGCGGTCCGCGAGACATCATTTGCAGGAAGATCCGCAGCCGCGCAAGCGACGCAGCAACATCATTCCAGAGGTAGACGATGAGAGCTACATTGTGCCACCGGTGTACCAGAAGACCAAGGAAGAGGTCCGACAAATCGTCGAAATGTTCCAAAACACCTGCCTGGTTTCGCGGCTGAAGCTAGCGGCGCAAGACATCATCATCTCTGCGCTGCGCAAGTGTACGGTCAAAAAGGGCACCGTGCTTATCAAGCAAGGCGAGCAGGGCGACGCGCTGTACCTGGTGGCTTCGGGTTCGTTCGACGTGTTTAAGACCGTCGACGACCGCGAAGAGAAGGTCAACGAGATGACGCCCGGCCAGATGGTTGGCGAGCTCTCGCTCTTGTACGATACGCCGCGCGCTGCGACCGTCGTCGCGCGCGAGGACAGTTGCGTGTATAAGCTCGACCGACAAACGTTCAACTCCGTTGTGAAAGCCTCCGCGCGCGAAGGCCGCAAGCGCTACCTCGAGTTTCTCAAGCGCATTGACGTGCTCCAAGGCTTGAAGAAAGACCAGCTCGAGCAGCTCGCGGACGTGCTCAGCGAGCAGCGCGTGCCGAGCGGAAAGACCATCGTCGAGCAGGGCGAGAAAGGCTCGACTTTTTACCTGCTCGCGCAGGGCTCCACCGAAGCGCGCAAGATGATCAACGGCCAAATGCAAACCGTCAAGAAGTACGAAGCGCCCGCCTACTTCGGCGAGCTCTCGCTGCTCGCTCGCCAGCCGGTCGCCGCGAACGTGGTCGCCACCTCTGACTGTGTGTTGCTCGGGCTCGACGTCGCTGCGTTCTACCGCCTCATGGGACCCGTGGAAACTGAGTTGCTCGAACGCTCGAAGCACTACAGCGACAACCCCATTTAGCGCCGCAAAATACGCGTTTCCGCGCTCGTGTTTTCTTTTTGCGTATATTGGCTGCCGACCTGCGCGAAGCGGCACGCGCGAGGCCGGCGATGCAGAGCTCTCGCGACGCGCAATTCTGCGTCGTCTCTTACAACATCAACGGCGTCACGCGCTTCGAGGACCGGCTGCCGCTGCAGGCGTTCTTCGAAGCGCGCGAGCGGAGTGCCGGGCGCGAGGTTGCGCTCGTGCTTTGTTTGCAAGAGCTGAAGCTGCAGCGCTTCGAGGGCCGCTCCTTCGACAGCAAAGTCTTCTGCTGCAACAGCGTGACTGGTCTGCTCGGCGGCTACGCCGGCGTGAGCACAGTCACGCGCGGCGTCGGCTCGCAGTGCGTGCTTCCGCGTCTCGACTACGTGGCACTTGCGCGCGTCGCGTTGCCCGCGTACGATCGCAAGTATGTGCAGCCGGGCACGCTGCCGCCCGTTAGCGCTGAGCTGTTTGAGAAGATGCGCAACCTGATGATCAATGAAGGCCGCGTCGCCGTCTCGAACGTCGCGTCTGCGTTCGCGCTCGTCAACGTCTACGTGCCGGCGCGCCGCAACAACGAGCGGCTCAGCGAACGCCGCCTCATGTTTTTATTTCTGGTGTTACTACTGGAAACGCTGCTCAACGCGCTGTGCGCGCCCGTGGTACTCGTCGGCGACTTCAACGCGATCTACCAAGCGCGCGACAGCAACTCGGACCACACGACCGACGAGCTGATGCAGTTTGTCGTGCAGAACTTCGGCTTCGCCGACCCGTTCGAGCGGCAGAATCTGCTGACGTTTAAGCAGGGTTTCGCCGGCGGCGCCGCGGCGCCGCTGGGCCACCGACTGGACTACATTCTGCTCGCGAGCCCGTCGCACAAACACTTCGACGTGCTCCGCGTCTGGCACGACGAGTTCGACCAGCTCAGCGACCACGCGTGCATCGGCTGCCGTTTCCGCACGCACGCGGCGGCGCAGCCACTGGACGCTGCGATTCGCGCGCTGCTGCAGTCGCTCGCGCCGCGCAGCAGCGGCACAAGGCGCTACGTGAACACACACCTGGACCGGTTCGTGACGCCGCGCGCGGCGGGGTCGAGCGAGCCGCTGCGTTCGCCAGCGACGAGTCCGCGCGCGAAGCGGACGGCTACGACACACAGCACCGTGCAGTGCCCCGCGCATGGCACGCTCTGCGAGGTCAAGCGCGTCCGGCGCAACACGCCAAACGAAGGCCGGTTTTTCGCGAGCTGTCCGCAAGCGGCGTGCAGCTTTTTCCGCTGGCTTTAGCTGTAGAGCGCCTTTACGTTTTCGTGGATGAACTCAAAACAGAGTTTGTACACGGCGGAGTCGTTCTGGTCGTCCAGGTGTTTCGCCATGTCCACGAGCCGCGCGACTTGGATGCTGTGCGGCAGGCCGAGGTCCTCGCGGCTGAAGAAGAGCAGCGCCTGTTTGAACGGCGGGTACTGCGAGATGTTTTGCAGAAAGGTCGGCTTGTCGATGTAGTCCTTCGCGAGCTTGAGGTGCACGAAGCGCAGGAAGATTTTGCACATGGTTTTGTAGATCTCGAGCAGCAGGTTCGCGCAGCTGGTCGGCACGCTGTTCGGCGAGAGCTCCTTCGAATTGAGCTTGAAACAGCTAAAGAACTCGGGCTTCTTGTTGCGGATCAGCGTCTTGACGAACTCGGTCGGCAGCGAAGTCGCGAGCATGTCGAGGTACGGCCGCGTCTTGTTGAGCGGCGCGCCGTATTTTAAGAACTCGGCGACGTCGAGCACCGGCGGCTTGGAGTGGTCGAGCAAGATTTCGTAGCGGTAGAGCCCGACCGAGCAGATCATATAAATCATGTCGCTCAATGTGTTCATCGCGGTGATCGCGACGGCCTCGCTGTACTGGGTGACGTTTTGCACCAGCCGCCGGCCAAGCGCGCGGAGGAAGCACTTGAAAGTGGAGTTCACGAGCGAGAAGCTCGGTGGCAGCGGCAGCCGCGCAATTTGGAACAGATGCGAGAGCATCAGCGAAGAGTGCGCGGTTGAAAAGTCGAACAGCCGGCAGACGAGCTGGTTGTGGTACACGGCGCGGCAGAAGCGCACGGTTTTGAGTGCCTCCATCGAGTAGTTCTTCACAGCCGCGATCGGCGCGGAGGGAATCGAGAGCAGCCGCGAGAGCGCGTTGACGCACGCGCAAGCGTAGCCCGCAGCGGTCTGCTCGCTGCGGAAGAAGAGCACACTGTGCGCTTCGCTTTGCGGCGCGGCGGCGTTGTACAGGTCGCCGCGCGCGTGCGCGCGGTAGCTGTCGAACGCGTCGAGCACCAGCAGCGGACTGAGCGACTGCAGGTAGAGCAGCGCGACGTTCAAGCCGTACTCGACGAACGCCGCGTCTGGCGTGTAGATGCACACCTGCGGCGCCTCCGAGTCGTTGTCCGCGGCAGCCTTCGCAGAGTTGTTGGTGGGCAGTTTCCAGCCGTCGAGGTGTGCGAGCAGCCCGTCGGCGACGACATGCCGCACGATCATCGTTTTGAACACGTAGGGCAGCGCGGGTTGCGCGAAGAACTCGGCTAAGCAGCTGACCAGCTGCGAGAGTTCCTGCGCGCTGAGCTTTTGCGTCGCGACGCTGAACTTCAGCAGAGTGCTGAAGAACTGGCACACCTTCTGGAACTCGACGCGCAGCTGCTTGTTCAGCTGCGCAATCTGTTCGTTGCGGCGGATCGACTGGTACTGCGGCAAGTCGTAGACCTGGCTCATCACCGCGCTTGGACAGTACCGTTGCTTCACCGCCGCGGAGTGCACTAAGTCGGCGCCGACGAAGTGGATGGCGGCGTACAGCGCGCTGTCCCGCGGCTCGCTCACAATCATCTGCACGTAGCAGCGGAAGTGCGCGAGCATCAGCGGCAGGTACTTGTCGAGCAGGCCGGTCAGTGGGTGCACGAAGCGGAAGTAGCACTCCGCCTGGCTGTTCTTGGGCGTCTGCCCGGGCGAGGTGTGGCTCACGAAGCCGAGCAGCGCGGCCTTCTCGAGCGTCTCCGGGATGACCACGTAACCAAAGAGGCTGTCGATGTGCGAGAAGTGCTTGCTGAGCTTGCGCAGCGCCTCGGCAAGCGAGGCGTTCTCGTCGCGCTGCGCGCCCGCCGGCCGCGCGTGCAGCGATAGGTACGCCGCGCGCAGCTGCTGCGGCGAGGCGAGCGTGTGCGCGAGCAGCTGCGTGTTCGCCTCAATGATGTCGCCCAGGTAGGCGGAAACGGCGCTCTTGATGATGTCGTGCGTGCCGACGCTCGTTACGAGGCTCAAGATGAGGTCCACGCCGATGTCGTGCCGCGCGGGGCAGCGCGCGATTTGCGCGCCGAGGTGCTGCAACAGTTGTTGCGACTCCAGCGGGATTTGCGAGAGCAGCTGCGAGCTGTCCTGCACCGCGTGCTTCGAGAGGCTGGCGCCGATGGCGAGCGAGCCGGTGTACAACTCGCGCAGCACGTCTGCGCTCTTGGTCGCGATCGCGTACAGTTGGTCGGCCTCGAGCGCGTTCGCCGGCTCGACGTCCAGGAAGATGCGGCTGAGCAGGAAGCGGCAGAGCGCCTGCCGCGTTTCCGCGAGCGCGGCGTCGCGCGCAGCCGGCTCGGCCGCGAGCTTCGCGCTCGGCGGCTTGCTCTTCGGCACGCCCTTAGAGTCGCCGTTCGCCGCGTCGTGCGGCGCGGCGCTCTTCAAACTGAACATGGCGCAGCACTGCTGCAGCAGCTCGAGCCGACGCTTCTCCAGGTGCGCCACGTGCGCGTCCACGGCGAAGCGCTCGCCCGCGCTGCGCTCGAGTAGGAAGAAGTCCAGCCGCGTGAACGGCTTGCCGATCAGCAGCTGCAGCAGGTCCGCGACGAAGCGGATCACTGCCTGCACGTTGGCCGGCTGCCGCTTGCTCGAGGGCGTCGCGACGTCCGCGAACGCGCCGAACAGCGTCGAGAGCAGCTGCAGGAAAACCTGCAACGGACAGTCAAACTTTTCGGCGCGCTTTTCAAAAGCCGCGGTCTTTGGGTCGAACAGCGCGAGCACGCTCGCGACGAACGAGCGCACGAGCGCCAGGAACGAGTTGACGACTGCCTCGCTCTCGTGGATGAGCAGCAAGTTGACAAACTCCGCGAAACTGCGGACCAACGCGCCGTACTGCTGCTGTAGCACGAGGTGCTGATTGGACTCGTTGTCCAGCGCGGAGGAGTAGTCGAACACGTGCTCGCGCCAGCTCGCGTTGGGCTGGAACGCAAAGCGGATCTTGATCGCGTTCAGCGTACTTTTCGCGCTGATCAGCAGCATGTCGTCCAGCGGCTTGAACTGGCAGTCGACCGTCTTGACCAGCCGGCACAGCAACGAGCTCAGCAGGTGCGGCATGTTGCCGTCCTGCCAGAGCGCGTCCGCTTCGGCGCCTTTCTGCGCCGCGCGGCGGCTCAGACACGTGTTCAAGATGGCGAACGTCTGCACGTTCACCGCGAGGTAGGGGTGGTTCAGCGTGTAGCAGAAGAGCAGCACCAGCGAGTCGAGCTTCGGCAGCCAGATGGCTGGCGCGGTTGTCGTGACCAGCGCCTTCGCCACGAGCAGCACGTTGAGCACTGCCCCCGCCTTGCCGTACTCGTCCACGTACTCGTTGCTGATCACGTAGTACACAATCTGCAGCAGCCGCGCGGTGAGTTCCGAGAAAATCTGCTTGTAGCTCTGCAGGTCGTAGTACTCGTAGCTGACCTGCCAGTTGCGCGCCGGCTTCGCCGTGGTGAGCGCCTCGACCGCGGCGCACAGGTCCTTGGTCGTGCTCAGCGGCAGACTGCCCGCAAACATCGCGGGCAGCCGGAACAACTCGAAAATCGTCGCCGCTTCGGTGCTGCTCAGCGTGCGCAGCCGGTGCGTCGCGCAGAGCACGACCACGTACTTCGCGGCCAGCGCGGAGAGCGCGCTCAGTGAGCGCTGCTGCATCAGCGGGAGCACCACCGAAATCTTCTGCAGCAACAGCCGCATCAGCTCGGCGACGTCGTCAATC